TATGGAAAGTGAATTTGCTCTGTAAACTTTCACCCAAATCACAATAAAAAAAAAAAAATCTGCCACTGAACCACCAAAAAATAAACAAATGAAACCAACCTGACTGCCATCAAGTCAGTTTCAACTCATCATGACCCCCATTGGATTTCCAAGGCTGTAAATCTTTACAGAAGCAAACACTTCATCTTTCTTCTGCAGAGTGGCTAGTAGGTTCAGCCCACCAACTTTCTGGTTAGCAGTCAAATGCCTTAACCACTACATCACGAGACCTCTTTAAGTAACCACTGCCCCTTTAAGTAACTTAGCAAATCACTATACTTCTACCCCAAGTGCCTAGCACTCAACCCACTCCACTAAAAAATCACCAGTGAAAGGGGCAAGCAACTGTCCACTTTCAGCCAGAGCTATGATTTCTTGCTGTCAAACAGGATCCCTAGTTGGCTGCTGGTGTTTCGGCCATTTCACAAGTGGGTATCAAATAGGATTTGCACTGGTGGTCTTAGAAGGTGATGAAGCTCTCAGACAAGTAAGCACTGGGCTAAAGCAGTGGAGCAGCAGAAGAGAGGCTCCCATAAACAATCCTGGGAAGGCAGCAATATTCCCAGGATAGTGGGCTGATTTCTAAATGGCAGAGTAAAGCTTCCTTTAGTGATAGGACCCATAGCCATTTGCCTTAGTCATTGGGCCTCCAGTGTGATGACCATGAGGTCACAGTCAACTAAACCCAAGTGGTTCTAGCTCTAGGTGGATGAAAAGAAATGTGCCCTCTTTCTCCTTGGCAGACTTTTGTCTGATAAGTACTTCAAACTCAACCATCTAAAACTGACATTGTTATCCCCCAAAATCTTTTTCGGCAGGGTACCCTATCTTAGTGAATAGTACTATTATCTATCAGATGCCCAGATCTAAAACATGAATCATCCTTCACTCCTGCCTCCACTCCCTATAGTTAATCTATCTCCAAGTCTATTATTGATTTCTCCTTTACAGTAATTTCTTTAGTAAAACATTCATTCATTTCCTAATCGTTCTTTGTCTCCCCTATGAGAATATAAGCCTGTGAGGGCAGAAATTTTATCTGTCCGTTCATTGCTTTATCATCAGAGTCTAGAACCATGTCAGGTATTTAGCAGCAACTTAATAATACTAGCTAAATGAATGAACAATTGCATTATTCAGGTTAATATCTAAATGCTTTATTATGGCATAAGCCCCATGTTGTTGTTGTTAAGTGCCATCG